AATTAGTGCAATAGGGGGGTTTTGAACCGGTGCGCATTTGTATTTTTCTACTAGTGATGATATTTGTATTTTGGCGCCAAAAACATTTCAAAAACTCAATTTTTATTTTGGATTTTGGATAACATTTACTATCCATTTATTTTATTAAACAAAAAAAATTATATTTTCCTATTTATTTTAAAGGGCTGAATTTCCTAATTAATTAGCTAAGAGTTTCGGATTTTTTAAGCATAGAAAATTTGATTTTCTTAGTTAATTAAATTAGTTTTAAAGTTGATATTTTCCTAATTAATTATTTTCTACAAAATATATATTTATAAAATCATTTTTAATCCTTAAAATCTAACAACATATTTCCTAAAGTCTAGCTAGGAGGTCCGAATATGAGCTTAGGAAGGCTTAATATTTTCGGCCACCTTGTGTGATTTTTGAGCAATTTATTTTGGTAGTTTTGTATTTTAATTATCTTCGTTCCTTACATTCAATTATTTCCTTAATTCCTATTTTCCAGCTCAGTAAGATTTGATCATAAAATTTAATTGCCTTAAATCTTTCTTGATTATTCTCCAAGCAAAGCCTACTTACCATTTTATATTTCATGATCAAACACTTACCTTATTTCTTCATTTCTTAATCACCATAAACTAGACTTTCCTAAGTTCTTAAATTCTCTTTTCCAAATAATTCCTTAAACTAAATTTACCATATTTCTTCCTACATTTTCTTACATTAATTCTTGCATAAATACCCCATGCATCAAAGCCAAAAACTCATTACACCAAAACTCTATTCTTTCGTGCTCTCTAATTTCTCTCTATTTCTCTCGATTTCTTGCTCCACTACCACCGCAAATCACCACCTTCACCGCTAGCCACCACCACCTCACCGGCGACCACCCTAACTTGCCAGCAGCAGCCACGTACTGGCGAGATGTTGTGGCTGCTGCCACTGCCACTACCGTGCCTTATTCTTCTCCTTGTTTCTGTTTTCTACCTCTTCTTCTCTTCTCTTAGTTAATTAATTATATTATCATTATTATTATTGTTGTTGATGTTGTTGTTGTTGTTGTTGTTCATCACCACCACCACTACTACTAATACTATTACAACAACTTTTTGTTATGTTTCTTGAGATCCTTTCCTCAATGTATTACTCGCATAAAAGGACGGAAAATATCTTCTATACTATCCTATTTCCAAAAATAAAACCAGAATAATATCCTAAGATATTTGCAAAATAATTTATCTCCTAAAATCTCACAAACATATATCCTCTTCTTTGGGAAATATTCCCATATTAAAATATGTTAAGGACAGAATCCTCAACTTTAGGAAATTTCGAACATTCACCAAAAGCTAACGAACTAAGTTCAGTAAACAAACTTTTTGTTATGTTTCTTGAGTTTGTTAATGAACTGGTAGTATCCTAGGTACCAAATCAATTGTTCCTAATCCCTACAACACATTTACACCTTAATAATGAACATTTCACCAATCCATCCAACTACTTATACACACTTACAACAAGAAGATCAACTAACTAAAATAAAAGTCTAATTCTAAAGTTCTTCATGTCTTCTTTTCTTGAACATTTTTTCAAGAAGGCTATCATTTTTCAAATACGTGGACTAGCTAATACTGCACATGGGAAACAGTTGATTATACCAAAACAAGCAACAACCAGCTAAGTTGTTTGTCATCGATCACTTCAAAACCCAAGAAGGTAGTAACCTAACAAGGATTATTACAAAAACCCAAACTTAGTTTTCTTAATAAGCACACACTTTTCATGAACTAATTTCCAGCTTTTAGTTTTTAGAGAGATTTTGTTTAAAGCACTCTTATTATTATTTATTGGATTGAAGTTTTCATAATAGAAGTTCAAATTTCCTTTTCGTGTGGTATTAATTATTTCTTAACCCTTTTATTGCATAATTTAATTATTGCTTTCAATATGTTTGATTTACTTGCTTTGGTTAATTTAGATTTAATTATGTATGAGTAGTTTAATTCTAGGGTTTTAGGGATCCATAAATTTATATGAAAGGATAATTTGTTTTTTTTAATTGTGGATATTTCATATTAATTTTTTATTGATTGCTTTAATTCTATGAAATTAGATTAGGCCTGGTTTGATTGTAATTGTATAGCAATATTGATTTTATGATTGAGAGATATAACTTTGATATCAAGGCTAGTTACAATATAGGTAGAATTAGATCTAACAGATTACGAGAGCCCGTTATTACTTCTAAATTCTATGATTAATAAATTGCATGAGCCAGTTAATTTGATTAATTCATACAAATCATACTTGTTTCTTAATAATTTAAATTATATTAATTAAGTTGGAATAGAACGAAGAACATTGTTTCCCTTTGGATTCGACCCTAGCTGCCTTTGTGACTACCTTGTAAGTGGACTCTAGGATTACTTTGATTAGGTAATACTATTTTAACCTGATAGTTTGAATCCATTTCCTTAAATGAATGGGTTCAAAAATATATTCAGCTTTTTTATAGCAAGGATGGTGTTAAAAGTGAGCAAATTGTAGATTCTATGTCAACGTTGTTGGGGCAAATGGACTATGAGAAACATGAGAGTTTTCAACAACAAAGTTGTATATATAGCAACGGTATTTGCCCAAATCCAGAATGGTAAAACATAGGACAATATGTTCACCAGTAAGAAGGAAGATAATATGGATGAAGGTTCAGCGTACCCCCTAAGGTTTTTTACAGTCAATTAGTAGGTAAGAGCTATATTCTTACGAATGATGTCATAACACAAGTTGATGGTTCTTGGGAGAAGAAAAATAGAAAGTTAGGGGTGGGTTGGACCTTATCTAATAATAAGGATGTGGTCTACGATGGGGGGACACCATGGTGTGAATATTTCCGCAATTGATGTGAAGGCGCATGCTTACTTACAAGCTCTAGTATGATGGGCAGAAAATAAACGGATCCAGCGTCTGACTCTTTATACGGATTCGGCACAATTAGTTTTTGCTCTGCAAGGAAGATAGGGGATGACTAATTCAATTAAATGGACAATAAACAGTATACAATATACATGATATATCAAAGAACTACCAGCTCAGCAGTGTTGCATAAGGAAAGTACAAGGGAACAAGAGCACACGACATAACTAATTTTTGCGTAAAAATTATGTTTAGTTTTGTTCTTTTGTTTTTGCTTTAGATTAATTTCTGCGGTTTAGTATTTGTCAAAAGAAGAAAAAAGAAAGTGTGAGGCTCTATACTATTGGGCTGTTTGCACGGCCTAATAGCCATCCCTGCTCCAACTTATCATAGTTAAATTTATGTCTGAAAGCTGCTTCTTATATCTTGAGTATCAACTATTGCCAACAATTTCTCTCGATTGGCTGCAACAAATAGCAAATTGTCCTCTAATAAAAAAAAAGGTGAGAATATTTTGCCCTTTCCTACTCGCACCAACACCATGAATCAGTTTTTCATCTGACGCTTTCCTGATTAGGCTTTACAAAGAATCAACAATCGTAATAAACAGATATGGAGAAAGATCGAGGGTCACCTTATCGTAGACCTTGGGTGGGCGTAATCGAGCGTCATTGATATAACAAAAGAATATGAGACTATCGAGACCCAACTCATCACTATTTTCACCCATTCCTACTAAAACCGAATAAAAGAAGCTTCTCAAGAAAGAACCACTCCATTCCACCTATCATAAGCATTACTCATGTCAAGCTTCATAGCCACTGTCCCTTTATTAGGCCCCTTACTCCTTTTGTTCACCGTATGAAAGAGTTCTATAGCAATTAAAGCATTATTAATAATTAATCTGCGTGGAATGAAACACTTTGGTTTTTTGTGATGACTTTTGGGAGGATAGACTTCAATCTCATTGCCTTGGAATCTATTTTATGGAACATATGACGTAAAGAAATAAGGAGAAAGATTGACATAGCAATAGGGGGTTTAACTTTTGGGATCAATAAAATATTTGTAAAATTCACACTCCTCAAAAAAGAAAACAAGTGAAGAATAATACAATCATGACTAATAGTGTATCATCACATAATATATGCCTTTTTGATAAAAGATTGCGTGCATATCGTCAGGCCCGGTGCTTTACATGGGTGCATCTCACAAGTGGCAGCAAAACTCTCATCCATGGTGAAAGATTGGCAAAGAAGCTCATTGTTTGCGGGGGAGGCCGATCGAAGAGTTCATAACGGCAAGGACCGCTTCACATGCTTCTTTCTTAAATCTCTTAAGTCTAACCAAAATGGGGGGTGTGGTCAGACTTAAATTTCACTAAGTGATTGACAATCGCTTGAGGTTATAGTTCGAAACATTTTCATTCCTACAATATCTATCCAAGCACTCCCTAATCATTGTTTGCTTAGATAAACCCCGCTCCCAAGTATTTACAAGGTTTTAGATTGACTCCATGCATTTACGCTTAATTTTAATTTTACTACTACAATACAATTTGCATTTACACACATATTTTGGTTTAAATCCAATCCAACAACAATCTCATATATGCAATGAAATAATTTTCTCATTTAAAAAACATTTTATAAGAAATTTTAACCCAAGCATTACATAGCCTACTTGTAGTTACTGTTTTTTTTTTTCAAAATGGCATAGTGTATTAAACTATTGTAATTTTTTTAATTTTTAATATTTCAAGTGACTTCCTCAATAATTATTATAAATAGAGTTGTCAATTCGAGTGTCCGGATCAGATCTAATTTCAAACTTGAATCATGCTAAATTATTGTGTGATTGTACCTATATAAGTCAAAATTTAATTCAGATATTTTTCAAGTCAATTTCAACTCAGAAAAGTTGAATTAGATTTTGACATCTTAAATCATAAATAAAAAAAATGAGAACATTGATCATCAATTATTAAAAAAAAATTGTAATCAAGTCCACATGGGATGTAACACACCGGAACATGCACTTAAATCTCTTACACCACAAATATCCCCAAATCGTTTGAACAACGACCTTCCAAAATCCGAATATTCCAATTAGGGCTCCATTTCTCCAACCCCTTTTATATTTTCCAACCTTCTTCTTACAGCAAAAAAATCCACCAAATCAGAGGAGAGAGAAAGTGAAAGAGAAAGTGAAAACTAGAGAAATTTCGCGAATTCGGCAACTCAGTTCTTCCGCATCTAATCGTATGTTATTAGAAGCAGGTATGGTACTTGGTGGAATAATTCAATGTTGATGCTTTTCAATTTAGGGTTTTTTTGGTGAAAATTTCTAGTTTATTTGTTAATTCGAGTAGTATGTAGTGTAATTTGGAGAGAATTTAGTGCTCTATTTCTTATTGATGAGTTTATAGCTAGGGTTTTCGGAAATGAATCTCATTTTTCAAATTGTTGTTGAATTGACTTTTTTATTTTTGCAATGTAATCATAATAATTTATTCATTTTCATTGATTTCTGTAGGTATAGTTCTTAAGGATTTCTATAGAACAAGTAGACCTCCGCCGCCACCGCTACCGCCTCGAAGTCCCGTCTGTAGAATCGATTCTCAATTAAATCATGAAGTTTCTCGAATACACTCAGTTAAATCGGTATCTATTCGTAATTTCTTTTTTATAGAGTGTTTTTTGAGCATTTGTAGTAGTTTTATGCAGCCGACACCTGCAAATTGTCTATGTGATTGGTTTATTTTTGATGATTTTGATTCTTATTTTAGGTTTTGATTGTTTGAATTGATTTAGTAATTGTGAGTTTCCGGTTTTTTTTTTCCAGTATAAACGATTTCTTGAGTCATGTAAATCTTGGCGAGCGTACTATTAAGGGATGTTTGGAGGCATATTCATGTAAGCAGAAACTCATCATTGTTATAGGAATATTTGTTTGATTATTGCCTACATGAAACACATTTATAATATTTAGCAGGTTGAATGAATGACTTTTGGGTGCGGTTTTGTTGATCTTAGTGTGTGTTTTTATTGTTTAACAGGTAAGCACACAGGTTTAGACAAAAGACTATCGTTGAGTTTAGAGCATGAGGTAAATTAATCATGTGCTTTTGTCTTTTAGATTATTCGTGTGCTGCTATTGTTTGCCAATTGCCAGTATTCCGCTGTCTTTTGAAAGTTGCGACTTATGACTGCAGACCTACAGTGATCTTAATCTATGCTGATATTTATTATTATATAAAACAAATGAAAAGAATTGTATAGGTGAATAAACAAACAAATAGAGGTGTGCATTAGGAAGTAGGACCGGGGGCGTTTGGTTCGCGGAATATAGGTATGAGGTATGGGTTTAGAATGACTAAAACCCATACCATATGTTTGGTTGTCAAAAGTATGAATTTTAAACCCTTACCTCAAACCTTGGGGGGAGGTGGGTTTGGCTCATTCCATTCCCTTACGTATCAAATGAAAGGAGGGAATAGTCAGAGATTCCATTACAGAATTGAACCAAACACATGGTATTAAGTATCAAGTTCTAACCGATACCACCTTAACCCCATTCTTGATTCCAAACCCATGCTACTCTGCCAACCAAACACCCCCTTAAAAGGTTCACAAGGAATTTGTTAAATGGTTGCATTTGTTGCTCTTGGTTTTAGAAGTGATATTTCCAATTTCATGCAGCTTCTGTAGGACATATTTTTTCTTTAGCATGGGTTATGCTAGGGTTTTTGTAACTTTTATATGGGAAGAACCGTAGTTGTTATTAAACTAGTCACCCTTCATACGCATGAAGAAGTCTGGGACGTACTAATATTAATGAGATATTATGGTTGATTGAGTGTAGAGTGCTATGAGCAGTCTTTAATCTAGTCAGAGTATTTTATGGAGTACTTTGGTTACCAAGGTATGTTTCACGGCAGATAGTTTCTTCATTTGATGCTTGTGGATGTTGAAATGACACAAAGAGCAAAACTTTTTTAGATTGGCCCACAGAATTTGACTTAACCTTGACCATATGAACCTGTGTGCTCTTTTTTCACTTACAATCTCCTTATAAGTGTGTACACACTTTATCTTCCTTCATGTTATCATATCCATTGTATTCTTTCGTTTATAGATCCGAAACTCTTTTTTGGAAGTTCAATAAGATGTTGTACTCTTACTAGTCTAGTGGTAACATTTTAGGCCCTTTTTTTTCAGCTTTTATATGAGCATGGATTGATAATCAATAAACTTTATTTCTGTTGCATCATAATTTAAGTACTTGATATTATAAATGAATGGGATAAGGATGACTCGTTAGATGAATGGGATTAGGATGCTTCATTGGTACTCATTACTTTTTATATAGGTGTGAATGTTTGGTGTTGTGGTTCTGGTGGAGAGGAGAGGAAAAAAATATTAGGACAGAGGGCGGCATAGTGACTTCTATTATGATGTTCCTGCTGATTTTGTTCCCACTCCCTTTTAAATTCATATATTAAGCTCATTTGTGAGCATATATTAAACAAGTTTGCTTTCTTTTCCCTTTCTTTTAAGATTTAACCTTAATCAATGTCTCCAATGTAATGAGGTGCGCTGAGGTGATTGAAATGTTTGGTAAATATTCCATAATTCATATCCTTGGTAGAGATCAAGTGTTCAATGTTGGTGTCTGTGATAATGAAAGAGGCAAAGTGACATAAGTGCTAATGCAGTCTCTGATTTCTTTGACGGAATTATATTAACTCTATTATAAGGTTACTTCTGCCATTTCCAGTCCACATCTACATACATCATGTTCACTGAGGCCATGCTTCTCTCTTGCTTCCTGGAAATGCATTATGCTTTCCTTGCTTTTATTTTTTATAAAAAACTTAACTTGTTGTTTTACTTTTACACATAAGAAGAGTTGTGGTGTTATGTTTTGCTCTTGTCTCCTTTTTACATGGCCTTTTTGAATGTTAAAATGTATTGATGTTACTTATCTAAGTATAACAATTACTATGATTGTATTCTACAACTGTAGTTACATAAATTTACCTGTGGATCTTGCTTCATAGCAGCCAAAATTTTATTTTTGCAGATTCTTGATCAACTTGGAAGATCATCTGATACTGATTCTCCATCACCTGCTGAAAATTTGATTAGCAGATCCAGGTTTCTACTTATTCCTAGATGAGTTTGGCATGATATGCTTTTTTTAGTCAAACTAACCAACCTACTGTTCCTTCAGCCGGAAGACGCTGATTTACTTGGTCCTTACTCTGTACCACATGTACCCAGATTATGACTTCAGGTAACTGGGTTTGCTGATGTTCAATTTTGAATTTCTTTAAAAAGAGGATTATGGGTAATGTCATTGTCAGCTTTATGGGCGACATGGCAACCCACATATAATCCTCTCGTAATTGGTATTGGGAGTGTTGTCAAAGAGGTTTGACAGACGGTTCTGAAAACTGTCGCTCCTGTAGGAGCTGAGAGTTCAAGTCTCTCCATTTCCCATTGTAAAAATTTTGTAGCAAGTTTTGACAGATGAGAAAATCTTTTCTTTGAATATTTTTGGGTTTGGAGCCTTTTGGGGGTGGGGATGCATTCAAATGCAATTTGTTATAGCTATGTGGTTTTGTATGTTGTGATATTACCCCACTTTGTTTGCTGCCTCGCAGTGCAGTGAAGGCTCACCAGTTCTTCATAGATGAAACCTGGGACAGTTTTGTGCAGTTATTTGATTCTTACATGAGAGAAGCATCAAAGGTATCAATCTTTTTCTTGTTTTAATGATAATCTGCTACCCTAGAACCTGGTAAAATATAAGTTAGGGATAAAGAACTTTCAGTTACTTTCCTTTTCTTTTCTCTAATTTTTTTATTTTATTTTTATTTTTTTATTTTTTTTTTTTGGGGGGGGGGGTTGTACTGTTGTAGTTGCTTTAGTGTAGGTTTTAAGAAGCTGATTCTAAATGCTGGTGTATTATATGGGTTGATGAAATAACAATCCATAACTTAAAAAGTTATTTATGTTTATATTCTTTTTTTTTTTTTAATTTATTTATTTATTTTGATAAGTATAAGATTGAGGATTCTCTCATTTTATGATGGAAATCTCATTGTTATGGGGGAATCTAGGAAAAGTAGTGTAGGGAGTTAGGGACAAAATTGCAGAGGTCTTTACCAATGTTTCTTATCTTTGAGTCACTTAGTTTAGCTTGTTACTTATATTTATTTGCATATTATTGCTTTTATGGTGAATGTATTGTTCTAAAGAGTTAGTGATATTAGATTTTTAGGGTGAGCTTTTGCCTTCATGTTTATGGTCGTAGTTGTTGACCTTTTAATGGTGCTTGTTACCTTCGCTGCGTATAGGAATGGATTGAAGCTAATGGTGGTAGTTCACTCCTTGAAGATTTGTACAAGGCCTTAGATGAAGTAAGTTTTCAGCAATTGTCAATGGTGGCCTTATATTTCATGAGCATTTATATTGCTAATATAACCTGTCATAACCTTTTAATTCTTTGTGGAAGTCGTTGACTCAGGTTGATTTGTTTGACTAAAAATCATATTTGTTATATGTAATGCAGGTGGTGAAACTCTCTGAATGTGAAATTTACAGTTATAATCCTGACTGTGATGCAGACCCTTTTTTACAAAGAGGAGCCATGTAAGATTCCGTCATTGTATATTTACTATTTATCTGCTTGACGATGGGTGATCATTATGACAATGTTGTGTTTGTATTTTCTCCTCTGCAGATGGTCGTTCAATTACTTCTTCTACAACAGAAAGCTGAAGTGTGTTGTGAGCTTACGCTTCTGCTGCCTGAGGTAGATTTTACAGTATTTTCTCCTTAGCGGCGTGTTAGGCATGGGGGATAGGAATAAGATGGTGGGATAAGAATAAAAGGATGATATTTCCTTTTTTTTTTTTTTTAATTGGTATGGATTGAGATTAATATTGGGTTTAGAACTAAGTTTCATGAATACCCTACTCAATATCTCTCTCTCTCTCTCTCTCTCTCTCTCTTATAAGGTTAAATTTGTATTTTCTTCTCCATCCTCGCCTGTCTTCCCTTGTACGAACTTTTATCTTGGCAGGATAAGAGGGACTTTTTCCTGTTCATGTCTTCTTTATTATCCCCATGACCTCATTCGGCCATCCCCCTTATTATCCCCATTTCTTAAAACAGACTAAGCATTTTCCATTTTCTTTAATCCCTATCCATTTATAATATACCAAATGCCTCCTAAGTGAGAATTATATAGGAGTATTCTTCTGTTTAGTCTGGTTATTTGCTTTGTTCTGTTTGATGGGAATGGTAATCGTATAGTAACTTTATTTCCTCAGATTAGTAATTAGGGAAGTCTTTAAACATCAGGTGTTGCTCAAACAAGAAGTATTTCACATTTATGAAGTACCTAAATATTAACGTTATGTTGAATCACATAATGCCTTTTCCCATAAGCCTTGAAATAAGGACATTGTAAACTTAATTAAAATAATGATTGAAAGGTGAATTATTTTGAATTTAGAAGTTGTGTTTCTCTTTTGTGCTGATTCTGATTGTGCAAGTGGTTTTTCTTGCAGCAACTTGGTGGCTGATGAATATCTGACCGATGAGTTGGATTTTGAGGAAGATGGGGAAATATTCGACAACATGGATATTTGAGTGCGGGATTGTGTTGTTCATACCACCTTTGTATGCTTGTTGAAATTATGTGATCTCAGGTCTGAATGCATGTAAAAGCCATTAACTTTTGTATCTGATCACAGACACTGTTGTGAGACCCTGTAATTTAGGTAATGTGAAGTTGTTAGAGGTTAGAATTGCTTCCCAACTCGGGATGCTGTGATGTAAATATGCATCAGGTTTCATCCAGGCCTTCGGGCTTTGGATTTTAATTGCTGAATCATAGACACCATTTAGTTTCGTGACACTGTATCAGTTGTGAATAACTGAATCGTATGCCTTCATTTGTTATTCTGTAAAGATTGTGAGTGCCTTTGTTATGTTATAATTTGCTGAATCCGCTGGGATCTTTCAGCTGGTAGAAAATGGGGATATTGTTGAACTAAAGATGCCCAGGAAATGGGCGAAGAGGAAAATTTTGTGCAGTACAATTTGATCTGCTGTGTTAACACTCAAAATTCAAGTGGACATCAGAACACTGACAAAGAGGCGGGAAATATTTGAGCAGTAGCTAACCCTTATATTGCAATTTCTTGTTGTAATGAGAAGTGAACACTTTCATTTTGTGAGTAAGCCTTAGCTGGGTTCTATTTAAGTTTAAATCTTTTATTTTAAAAACTCAGATGAATTTGTAATTGTAAAGATTATTTGCTTGATACCCAAATGGAGTAAAACAATGTGCAAAATAATTTGCCTAATAATATGTTAAAAAAGAAGTTTTTATGATACAAATGAAAAAAATTATTTGGGACTTGGGTCAACTAAGAACTAAATTGTTCCAAAGAAGAGAATGAAGAAAAATAATAAAGTAGGATTATGTGATAAAATAAAAATGAATGGATTTCTTCACCGTTGTACTCTGTTATGCATAGTAGTACATCTATCTAACAGTTATTTAAAATTTGTTTGGCCAAACTTCTTATGTTCTACGGTGGAAGATAAGATTATGAATGATAGTTGTTTATGGGAAATCTTAATTAATTGTCCCAACCCAAATCCAATTTATTCCATTTCTCACCAAATTAGTTTAATGGATATCTTTGAGGTAATTCCAATTTCCAAGTACGTTAAGACATCACTCAATCTACAGGTACAATTTTCAAGTTCAATTATGGCTCATCAATTGGGATTTATTAATAAATTGATTGTTAATTTACAAGAAATTTATCCCATTTTATTTTAGAAAAATGCTATACATAATCCTAAGAGTTGTATATAAATAGCTAAAAATGGAAAAAAACAAATGAAAGTATAACATTAATTATACTCCCTCCGTCCTTTTATTAAGGACCTATTTCTTGTTTTTCACCGAAATTAAGGTTTTTGTAGATTCCTTAAACCATATGATTGGAAGTACCAAAATACAATAAGTGCATTAAAAGACAAATTATATGAAAGAAAAAGAGAAATGAAAATAAATACACCGCTCATAAATAGGCTGCATATGTCACCAATCTTTAACAAATGAAAAGGACCCATCACATTCAATGCATGGGACAAAAAAGAACCAATCATTTGCTTTCTTTACAATTACACGGATTATGCCCAAATGAAAATATTCAGAAAAACTGAGGAACGAGGGAAAATTTTCAGAATGAGGAACGAGGGAAAAAACTTTCGGAAAAAATGAGGAATGAGGGAAAATTTTCAGAATGAAAATCTGGGTGAGGGAGGAGTTTTTTTTTTTTTTTTTTTTTTTTTTTTTTGGAGGAAGGATGTTATGGGAAGCAATTACTCAAGATCTGTAATCACCCATAAACCCAGATCTAGGATTTTTGAAGAGAGAAAATGTGAGCAGTGTCGGGGTAAACTTCAAATCTTCACAAAACGAGCGATAATAAAGCCAAATTGATAGAGGCTAGGGCTTTTGTAGAGGGGGTTATTTTGTAGGGGGAACCTAGAAAGATGAAGAACCCAGAAAAATGAAGAAGAATGAGGAGAGAGAAAATATTGTCGGTTGATACAATAAATGCCAAAAATGTATGGCACAAAAAATTAAAAATGGCAGGACAATTTGGGGATTAAATTAGGAGAATGAGGTTGGAATTGTAAAAAATCACTTACTAAAAAGGGAAAGATTCTAACAATAGGTCCTTAATTTTGATTTGCCAAAAAAGAAATACAGGTCCTTAATAAAAGAACAGAGGGAATACTTATTTGCGCTTGATTTTGTCATGCATTCCTAAATTAATACCAAATAAGGAAAGTTATTAAATGTTTATTCATAGCCCAAGAGCTACAAATGGCATTACCCTTTACTTTATTGTTTGTTTTCATATTACATTAAATTGACAAATGAAACAAGTTGTAATAATTGGAACACATATTTACAAGGAAATTAATCTAAAATAAAAAGAACATGTAATTGTGATGAAATAAATTGGGACACAAAAGACATACATGAGATAGTTCTTTGATATAACTCTATGAGCTCATCACTTTGAGTTATATATATACATATATATACATATATACATATATATATACATATATATATATATGTACATATATATAGATATATGTGTACATATATGTACATATATGTGTACATATATGTACATATATATATATGTACATATATATATATGTACACACACATATATTTATATATATGTACACATATATATAAATATACATATATATATATATACACGCTTTTCTAAAGAAGAAGTTCAAATTTCGAAGAGACTCGATGCTTCACAAAGTATAATATAACTATAATTCCCTTCAAGATTCTTTGTACCTTATGTCAATTTCACAATCTCAAAAAAAAATTTACCTTCATAAAAAACAGGGATTAATTGAACAATTAACTAAGTTTAGTTATCACTTTGTCTAAGATAAAATGCAACTTGCCCTAATTAAGCACGAATGCAATAGTTAAAGATTCAAGGATTGCTTTTTCAGCATTACTAAGACAAGAAGATGAAGGTTATCAAATGAGAGGTGAAAACAAAGATTATTGAATTGGAAATGAAGGTATGCAGGGTCGTTTGGTTCGTTAGAAAAGTGCAAATTTCCCATGAAATTTCAAGTTGTGGGAATTAAATTCCGTCATCAAAATCATGGGAATTCAACAAATTTGTTTGGTTAAGAATGGAGAAAGTAAATTCCGATAGGAATTTTAACTTACCAAGGGGGAATAAGGTAAGTAAATTCCCATGCTTTGTGGGAAGCCAAAATTCCCATGAATTGTCATTGCCCCCATTTTCACTTTTTTGTGTCAACCAAACAAGAAGTTTAAAATGAAATTCATGGGAGTTAAGTGTTTTTTTTTCTTCCCTTATGTAGTCAATTAGTTCTTAAACGATAAAGTAGGGCTCTAATTTTTTTTTTTTATTTTTATTTTATTTTTTTTTATTTAGGATTAGTTAGGCTTAATTTGGATTGTCACTAGACTATGACGTCATAAAGGCCTTAAGTCACTGGAAAGAGAAATGTTTAATTAAGGCAGGTGTACAATAACTAAGTGAATGGCGAAAAGAAAGAGGACAGAAAGTGGTTTACCACACGTGCCACGTGAGACATTTACCCACCCAAATTCATTTCATTACCTTTCTCTCTCCTCATTCATTTGTTTCTTTCTTCCTGAAAACTTTATCTCTCTTCTTCAATTTTTTTTCTCTCTACTGTCCAAGTTTTTTCTCTCTCTCTTTTTTTTTTCCTCTTGATTCTTTGGTGATTCACTGCAAATATGCAATGACGAAGACGAAGACGAAGACTACGGAGTACTATGTTTTCTGACCCTTTTTTTTCTGGAAATTTGTTGCTAGAGATTGTTGATCTTCTTAATTTGTATTTTTTGATGTCATGGTTTTGATAAAGTGTTGTTTTAATTTTAATTTAAGGGTAACTTTTGTATATTTTAAGGGTAACTTTTTGTGAGATTAAGGGTAATTTTGTGAGATTAAGGGTAACTTTTTGTGAGATTAAGGATAATTTTGTGAGATTAAGGGTAACTTAATTGAGTTTGAGAGTAACTTTTATGTGAATTTGTTCCGTTATTCAACTAATTAGAAGAATGGATTGGATTTTGTTCTAATTTTCTTCTAATATATGAGGAACAACTTGATTTCTAGATTTTCAATTACTACAGAATGATTTTAAACAAATTATTCCAAATTTAAACAAACAAATATCTAAAAATAACTGAATACATTCAGTGATAACTTCCTAATATTTATTTTTCCCAAATTGAGAGTTTGAAATACTATTTCCATCATCAACTGAATGTATTTCATATCCAACATAATTGAAAATTTTAGGCCGATTTCAATGGAAAATTTTGAGTTCTCCAGATTATTTATCAATGGAGTTTAAATACGCCTCCATAATCAATTGAATACGCCTCTAGATTAGGTCTTTCTCTTTCTCTAATGGCAAAATTTTCTTTTCCTACTGAAAGGAATGGTGTCCTTCCAACAAGTGTATTATTCCGGTAGAGGGTTCAAAATTATTAGAAAGCTAATTCTTCAGTAAGGTCAAGTGATCGAAATGCCTAGGTGGAGGCCACTTCCGATTAGTAATATTAATGTACAATTAATATTACAGCTTAATCTTGATTGAACCCTTCGGGTCGAACCCAATCGAACAACCGATCCGAGACGACGAATCAATCTGAAGGATTTGATGAGTCGTTAGAGTTTTACGAACAAAAACGTCGGATATCGAGCTTAGAGCGTCGAGACCGAGCGTCGCAAGTCGAGTCGAATTTAGAATTCGACGAGACGTGAAATCAATCAAGTTACAAGTTCGAGTTAGGCCGTAGCCTCGCATTGGCCTAGTCATGCGAGGGCAGGCTATCTCGAGCTAGCATGTGCATCGCAATGCTAGCCGCAAGCCTAGCATGCTAGGCGTGCTAGGGCCATGCATGCTAACTAGCCATCGCAAGCATCGCAGCCTTGCGTGCGTGCTAGCATGCCATGCGCCAGCTATCGCACGGCTAGGCCTTGCTAGCATGCTAGGCGCTGGCGCAAAGCATGGCCTAGCACTGCTCGCAAGCATTGCAGCCATTGCGTGCTTGCTAGCATGCTGGCGCCTAGCCATCGCAGCCACGCACCATGCGTGCTAGCTGTGCCAGGCATCGCTGCGCACTATGCGTGCTGGGCCTCGCATAGCAGTAGCCTAGTGGTTCGCAACATCGCAAGCAACATGCACCAGCCAGCAGCGTGCTAGGCATGTTGGGTTGTGCGTATGTGCTAGCAAGCAGCAACACGATGTGCCTCGCATAGCAGCAGCGCCCAGCATGTGTGGCTCGCTAGCAGCACGCATGCACTGGCTCGTTGTGGCTGGTTGTGCGAGTGTGCTGGCTGGCTGGCTAGGCTGCCCAACCTTGGTGCTAGGCGCCAGCTGGCAGCCTTGGCAGCCAAGGCAGGCTGCCAGCCAGCTAGCCACTTGGAGGGGAGGGCCGGTTTTGCTTGTGGTGACCAAGGGTTGGAGCTTTGCCTTGGGGAGCAAGGCTATGGTCCCCCCCTTGGAAATGGTCCTCACCTAATCTCTCATCCTCCTTGTGCCACTTGTAACTTATTGATTGAATTGCAATTTTATTTTTGTTTTGATTAAAATAAAATGGGAAAATTGCAAATCTCCCACATTGATGGTGAATGGGAAATCAAGGTTCATTTCCCTATAAATACCAAGGTTTTGGGATTTGGGAAGAACACTTGAGTGAAACTAAAAAGGCATCTCCTTAGAAAAGTGAGAAAACCTTAAGTTCGTAAAACTCAAGTTTTTATTGGTCGGGTCCCGACTAACCTTAGGGACTTGGACCGTTCGGGTTGGGTTCGTGGGTACGAGCCGTCGGAGACCTTCGCATTTGCGGGGTTCGAGTTTTGAAGTAAGAGCTCGGGTTCGAGCGAAGCACGCGCCAAGGGTAAGAAAGTATTTTCTTTCTCTCCCTTATTTGTTGTTTAATTTGTGATTATATGCTTAGTTGCCTTAATTAGTGGGCGGGTTTCTCTTCCGCGTAGAGTCGAACGCTACGAAACCCAACACCTACTGCATGATTTCACTTTCTCTCTCCTTTGGCAAAGTGGCAGTGTGCATGAATTCAGAGGAAATTAATTTGGCATGTGCAAGCTACCCGATTTACATTAATATACTGTAAACCGGGGCATGAAAAATCCTACCACTGGAAAAGGGAAGATTGTAGTAATCATAATAATTATATTAGTTTTGGGGTAGTAATTAATACAGATGAGTAGAATCAAGTAATCGGTCAAAAACAACGTAACTGAAAACGGAATTTGTCAAAAGTAGGTCTGGAAAATTGGAACTGGTTCTATCTAGGTCCATTAATCATAATTGGTTCCAAAATTGGGTACCTGATTTATTTGCAAGATAAAATTAAAAATAATTGGCAAATTCAGATACATCAGTCATGTTACATTACCAAATCAGATAAAAAGTTTAACAAGTGATTACAAAAAATTATCGTCAATTGAAATGATGAAAATTAGTAATTGAAAAATAAATAAAACTTGAAGTTAAACAAAAAAAAAAAACTTCATATATATTATTTCGCATAATAGATCATGAATGATTAAATTGCTATTTATGGCTATCGTGCAAGGCATGCATATATGGTACTTCGGTTTCAATCTATGGATAAAAACAAAAACTACAAAATAAAAAAATAAAAAAAATAAAAAAAAACTGAAGAAATTGTAATGGGATAATACAATAAAAACGAAAAAACAAACAAAAAAATAATAATTACATCTAATAATTAATAATTACATAAATACAACCGAGTCCAAAAATCTAGAATTTAGAATTGGAACTGATTCCAACCGGGTCCAAAATATTGGAATCGGACCTTGATTCGTTAAGATTGCGACCAGATCTAGACCGGGTACCGAAAATTGTTGCTCACCCCTAGTAATTAGCAAATTTTTTTAACGGTAGCAAATGACAAAGGCCTTTTTGGGTAGTAAACTAGTACAATTGACAAATTTTGTATTTTAAAATGAATGATGTCATAAATGATATCAACATGACATATTTTATAATTGTTCGTTACTCCGTAAAAAATTATATCTTTTTAATAATTTGGGAAAAATATTTTATGATTTTTAATTCATTAAAAATTTAATTATAAAGTAGGCGTGGTAGGCATTGCAGACAAACTAAGGAAAATCGCTTGCGCTGGTTTGGGCATGTAAGACGGAGACCCAAGGGTGCACTGATATGAAGAGTGGAAGAGTGGGACCATGGAGGGGTAAAACGAGGGAGATCAAAAATAAGTTGGTTGGAAGGAGTTAGGAAAGATATGAATGAAGTATATGGATTTGCATGAGGATAGGCATTGGATCGTAAGGGTTGGAGAAGGAAATTTTTTTATTGATGACTACACGAAATAATCACTTTTGGTTCATGTAGCCGACCCCACTTATGAGATTAAAACTTTGATTGATTGATTGAAAATTTAATTATAAGAATTTCAAATTATATTCGAAAATACATATATAATAGTTTTTGAAAATAGGAGATCACATTTTTCCTTGTTAATGGTTAAGCCAACTCAGCAAACCTTATGACCCCGATCTAAAAAAACCAATTTAACTTAATTGAAGTGATTTGATTTTTCCTAAAAAAAAATAGATTCGATTTATAAATAAATTGACTTACATGAGCACAATTACTTAATCAAATACGAAATGATTTAATCCAAACCTAACCAACAACCCGAATTGACAAGCAAGCCCCAGTTAATCTTAATGATTGACGAATTTCATCAATCTAATGGCATTATTGTAATATTGAAGAACAGTACTCGATGCCATTTTACGAGTAAAGATAACGACCATTACTCTACCAACACCACCATTAAAACTCCCTCCATATAAAACTTTTTGCTTCTTCTTCCATTAAAGCTTCCCCGACCTCGACCACCACTGAAACTTCCCCATCTCCACCACCATTGAAGCTTTCCCAACACTAACAACATTGAAGCTTCTCCGATCTCCACCCACCTTCCTTGATCTTAAACAAAAACCCTATGAATGAAGGGTGAAATTAAGGGCATGGTCAACCCAAAGAGTAGAGGTGACCATGTCCTGTATTGAAACTACCTTAATTGGGCTTGGTTTTTTAAGATAGGTCAAAAATGATGAAAGAAGTGATGTCGGCGTCAAAAGGAAAGGAGATAGCAGATGACAATGGTTGTGATGTGGTAGTGGCGGTGAAGAAGTGAGGTTGAAAATTTTGGAGTTGTAGCGCCACTGTTGAGTTAGAGAAGGAAAGAGGAAGAAAGATCAACTAATAGCATAAAAAAGCAAGTCCCAACCAAATAATTTACCCAAAAAATTTATAAAAATATCCCAAATAATTTATAAAAATATCGATTTTACCCAAATAATTATTGTATTTTTTCAATCATAAAGATTAACTTGTATTTATCTTAATCAACACGTCTAGCTCAAAATGTATAAGAGAGAGGGTGGTTAGTTTAACCGTTGAAACTCCCGCTCGGTATCAAACCCCAAAACGGGTTAAAATCTGTCCCCTCAAAATAATTCACTCCCACGTGTCCCCACAAAAATTCCCAATAACAAATTAACAACAACAATAATTTCTCAAAATTCCCCCTTTTTTGTCCAATCTCAATTTCTTCCTTTCTTACATTCCTCCGTTTTCTTCTTCTCTCTCCTCCATCTTCCTCCTCTCTCTCCTTCAATGGCGCAAGTTCATCTCTCAGAAACATACGCTTGCGTACCTTCAACAGAGCGTGGTCGCGGCATCCTAATCTCTGGCGATCCCAAATCCAACAACATTCTCTACTGCAATGGAAGATCAGTGATCATCCGAAACCTCGATAATCCTCAGAATGTTGAGGTGTATGGTGAACATGCTTATCCTGTTACTGTTGCACGGTACTCTCCTAATGGTGAATGGATCGCTTCTGCTGATGTTTCTGGGATTGTTAGGATCTGGGGTACCCATAATGGGTTTGTTTTGAAAAATGAGTTTAAGGTTCTTTCGGGTCGGATTGATGATCTTCAATGGTCTCCTGATAGTCTTCGTATTGTTGCTTCTGGTGATGGCAAGGGCAAATCGTTGGTTCGGGCTTTCATGTTAGTGGTTTTTAATTAATTGAATTGATTGGTGTTGAATTTTGATGGGTTTGTTGGTAATGTTGTTATTGATTGGTTAATTGATTGATTTTGGATTTTTTTGATGTTGGATTGTGATTTTTTTTGATGATATTGATGGTGAATTTTGGTAAATGTGTTACAATGCTGGGTTTATTTGAATTTTATTCGTGTTGTTTGGGTATGTTTGTTCGATTCTTAGTTTGATTTTTGGAAATTGTAATTTGTTTTGGTTTTGATTTTGAGTGGCATTATACAAATAGGCTGAATTCGAGATTGGTATTAATGTCTTAATCTTAGCTCATATGCAAGATGGAAGTGGTTATAATTGTAGGAAAGTTGGTATTTTAACCATAGTTGTGTTCTATTACATCTCTTTTCTTTTGTCTGATAGTCTTTGTACTCATCGAAATCATTTATGAAAAGTGTATATGGTAATTTACACCGATCATTGGTTCCAAATGAGTTGTGAGGAAAGCATATTTTCCCCATTATCCAATTTGATGATTGATTTTTTTTTTTTTTTTTTTTTTTTTTTTTTTTTTAATATATATTTTATTTCTGTCATTTGATCATCTTCCCATTAGGTTTTGTATGTGCTTGACTTTACATAAGATTTCCTTGCTGTGATGATTGAAGTAGTACTCTTACTTTTCATGATGATCTTTTTTCAGGTGGGATTCAGGATCTACTGTTGGAGAGTTTGACGGTCATTCAAGGCGGGTTCTTAGTTGTGCTTTTAAACCATCAAGGCCATACCGTATTGTTACCTGTGGAGAAGACTTTTTGGTGAACTTTTATGAAGGCCCTCCTTTCAAGTTTAAGCACTCTCAAAGGTTCTTTTTTGTTATAGTACTTTTGTGGTTTGATGTGGCGATTTATGGTACAATAATTGAAGCATTATATTACATGCCATTGCCTCATATAAAAAGATTTTTATATGGACCATGTGTCCAACTTCCGGTCCTATGTTCTTGTATGTTGTGCTGGTGTTTGGGGGGGGGGGGGGGGGGAGCATTATGTTACATACTATTGCCTCATTCATAAGAAGGTTGCAAGATGGACAAAAATGATATTTATGTCCAATTCCGGATATGCTCGTGAGTGTGTGTCTTACCGGAGAATATACTTACTCCGTTCTTTTTTAGTTGCAACGTTTCGATTTTCACGCTTGTCAATGCATAAATTCAACCGTTTATATATCTAATTATAGATGAGTAAAGTTTGATATTGTGAAAATACAAATTAAGACGAATCTAAAAAGACCCCACACGACTCTATTTTGCCCAACATCAAAATCAACAAAAATGGTCAAATGGGTGAATCGTCAACGTGAGTAGTGCAAACTGCAAATTTCCAACTGCTGCAACTTATAGAAAACGGAGGAAGTAGTAAAAATGTGGTAAATGTGAATTTAGAGGGTAGTGCTGGAAATATATTTCATTTTGAAGAAACTTGAATCTGTCATTTTCTAAGTATCTTCTCTTGCTATGCTGCTATTGTTAATTGATCTTCTTTTATCTTATTCTTATCAGCTGTCTTTCCCTTGTCTATTCATACTTGTATGTATAATCTACATATACGTGTGTGCATGCGAATGTGCCACATCTGTCTATCTATAGGTAATGATCCTCACATCTGGTCGATCTGGGCCTTCTGATCCATAATGGATTAATCAATCACTATCTGGATTGACCACATAGTTTAGAGGTATTCCCATATCTTATTTCAATTAATGTGGCCCCTCTGCCACATACACAACCTTTTCAGCCTAAACCAAATTGATAAAGTGAATACTGGGGTTATCCTACCAAGTATAAACAACCATGTGATGACTTCCTGTACCCACATAATTCCCTTCCCCTTGCCGAGCTTAGCCTTTGGCAGATTGGTGATAATCAAAATATGTACGTGTATCTACCTGTCAGTGCAATAGTGCATTTGCAAATATAGATGGATACAAGGACATACTATTCTAAACAGGATTTTAGAGTAGGAGGAGGTAAATGCTTGCCAAGCCATGGATTGTTTGTGTGTGTATGTGTCCAGTAGGATTTTATCCTCTTTCTTCAGAACTTATATTCACAAAGCTTTTAGGGCTCGTTGTCTTCTTCCTTCAAAAACTTTGTTTATGTGTTATGCTTCATTGACTGGTTTACCTTCCTTTGTTTTCACCCTTGCTCTCTGCCTTAGTCATGAAGGGTGATGAAAAAGGATTTAGCTGATTTACTTAAGGTTGATCAATAGTTTGCTAAAAATGGGATTGCATCTGATATTTTTGAAAAACTATCTTCTCTAGTCGATGGGAATTTGTTGCTGAGCTTCTAAGTAGAAGGTTATATAATCAAATCTGGAGTTTTGGCATGGGAGCATCATATTTCTGTTTCATTTCCTCTTCTTTTGAGTTTTGACAGCTCTTTATCTTAGACAATGCTCTAATCTCTAATATTTCGTATAACGGAGCTATTCCAATTAAGGGCCAACTCTAAGTATGGAAAATTGGATATTTATTAGTATTTTTAGTTTTTTTTTTAATGATTCTGCAGATAGGATGATTTAGTTGCAGAATTTGTTTGGAAATTATTGCAGTGCTTTTGTATCTCACTTACAGAAATATCTGCGTGCATTTACTTATTGTCTTGTCCCTTATCTAGGAAATTTAAGCTTCTAGTGGTCAAAACATGTAATTGACAGCTGAACTTGCATGATAATTTGTAGCCTTAACCATCCTTATCATTGGAGTTAAATGGGTTTGCTCATTTTAATTCATATCAAAGTGGTTGCTTATCATTGGAATATAATAATGGGGGTACATTGGGTTTGCTTTTCTTTAGTTTTGTCTTATCTATTGGTATCTGATGTAAATTTTGGAAGAAATGAAAGAAGGAACTTTGGTGATCAGTATGGCTGGGTGTTTCTTGATTTTTGTAATCAGAGAAATGACTGTACAATTTCGATAAAAGGTATGATTTGGAGGTAATAGTATTGAATCTTGCATCCATTTGGTGTCCTCTATGTTGGATCTTCCTGGTTCCTTTTGTTAATATAGAGCATGATTTGTTCACCATTTTTTTGTCATTAATTTATTTAGAGGATTCCTTAACTTCTGTGCTCATATCTTCATCATGAAATTTTCCTTGTTTCTTAAGCAGGCTTATAATTGACGCATGCTGATCTTGTCAGTTTGATGAGCTTAGTTTCCATCGGAACTAACATGTCTATTAATTTGTAGGGAGCACTCAAATTTTGTCAACTGTGTGAGGTTCTCTTCTGACGGAAGCAAATTCATTACTGTTGGTTCTGATAAGAAAGGTATAATTTATGAAGGAAAGACAGGAGAAAAACTTGGGGAATTATCTGCACAGGATGGACATCAAGGTAGTATTTATGCTGTTAGCTGGAGTCCAGATAGTAAGCAGGTAAGTACCATTGTTACATAGTAGGAGGATAAAGAATAAGTTGTATGGCATGTCATGCCTTGTCTGTATGTTATGTATGTACTCCCTCTGTTTCATAATGATCTTCCTATTTACGTATATCGATGCAAATCTTTGATTGCAAACATCTCTAATCCCACATTATCAAAATTTATAAAAATTGGATGTTGATAATGTTCTCATAGAGACGAACCAAACTAAACCTCATATGACTATGTTCTTATACATAAAGAGGAATTTAGAAGATTCTCTATCATTTTTGATAGTCAAAAGATTCCAAATGGGAAGATCATTGTGAAATGGAGGGAGTATCATTTAGGTTACTTTTCAATTGTTCTCTTTTTGATGTATTGTGTTAACTGACTGTTCCTTTTTTTTTTTCCTCATTTTATTTGATATTAAAAGAATCAAAGATTTACTGTTCTTTGTTTTTGGAATACTAATTGACAACATCAACTATGATTCATTTAATTGCTCAACATTCTTCTATTGCCGTCATAATAGATAGTCTTTGTGTATAGGATTAAGGGTCAATTGGTTTTTACTTCTCTGTGATTATAGGGGTTAGACTGAATGCACGCGACAATTTTTTTCTTTCATCCTGCCAAGGGCAACCACCTCTTTTGAGGTACTTGGAGAGTTGTTGGTGGGTTGGAGAGGAGAAAATTCTTAGTAAAGTTATTTCTATATGAGGACAAGCTGACCACTTTCATAAGGCAGATGGCTATCCAAGAAAACAGTTAAAACATCCTGATTTCACACTGTTGCTGCAAATATTACGCTTAGACTTGAAAACATCATGCTAATCTGTTACACTGCAGGTGTTTGTGTCAATTTTATAAAATTATGGAAGTAATATACTGATATAAGATAATTTTTTGTTAGCTGGAAAGCCTGGAATGTTTAATTTTCTTTTATGAAATGTTAGAAGTTAAATTGTTTTAAATGTTGGTTACCAGTTATTGTAGAATGTAGTGATTTCTGAGAAAAAAAGGCTATGGTTTCCATAAAAAATCTAGACAAAGCAAATAATGAGATTGTAGATAATTAGGTTTGCTTGCTTAACATTCTCGAGTCTTGCCTTAGTATTACTGACATTCAAAATTTGATTCAAGGTTTCTTCTACTTCAAGAGTGAAGAAAAGATATGCGATTTGACTGTCGACTTTTGGTTCTTGTGTTTCATCCTTTAGATTTTCTTTATTTGTGTTCGCTAAAGTAATACAGACATGCAAAATTTGAATGTTCAGGTTAATGGAATGACTGCAGCTACAGGGATCACTTAAGCGACTTAGCTACGATTAATTTGCTAATTATAGCCATTGCTAAGTTGATCCCATGCTTTATATCTTCTAAAGATATTATTAAGGTTGTTGAAAACTATATTGGATTCGATAAATCGGCTATTTTTCTTGATTTGGACCAAATTTGAAATTCGCTTACTAAGGAGTGAACTGTGGTAACTATGGTCTGGTTCAATCCACTAAGCCAATGAAAGAACAGTGTAGTGATATAAAGAGCAATGTGCACACAAATCAAGTGGATTTGTGTTATGTAGAACTGGGATTCACTTCCACGAAAACATTGTTTTTCTGTGTAATAAATAATAAGATCCAAGTGAAAATCTCCCTCTAGAGTCATGGGTACTTTGAGATTGTATTGCTGAGTTGGCAAATGTAGCTGACCGTGCAATTCTATAATGAACCGACTTAGGGGATGGGTATGATGGATTTATGGGTAGTTTTGTATGTTAGTAGTCATTAACTGTAGGTCTGTTGTACATAAGAGAAAATATGCAATGGACCAAGAGATGCCATCTGTGCACATGAGACAAAAGCTAAGTCTAGAATCATCCTAGGGATAGAGAATGTAAATATAAAAATGGAAGAGAGGTATTGAGAAGGTAGGTAGAAATTTGTATTGGGAAACCTTAGAGAGTTAATGCCTAAAGCCATTGTTAGAGAGTGATAGCCTCAAGCTATTCTGAGAGTAATAGCCTAAAACCTGTCACTTGTAACCTCTTTTGCCATTATCAATCAAATTTCAAGCTTTCATCCTTATTCATTTGCTTTGTTAAATCAGAAATATGAAGCCAGAAAATCAGTCTATTTCAAATTCTAGGACATTAGTTTTCTTCTTTCTTTTTTAATTATCTATATTATATATATTCTTCATTGTAATATTTTCCAGATTAATGAAATATATGACAACTTTCTCTCTCTTGTTCTTCCCCTTCTCTCTCTAAAATCAGATTAGATTTTCTTCAGTTACTTGTGAAGTTCTCCCTCCCGTTATTGGTCAGAGTGATCACTATTTGCATGGAATTGATATAACTTATCTTCTTCTTCACGCAATGTTCTTTTTGTAACTCTTGTAAAATAAGACCCTTTAATCTAGTCTTGTAACTCTTCTTGTGGTGTACTGCGGATATCTTTTGCTTCATTGCTGCTAAACAATTCTAGTGGAGTGAGTTTGATAGCTAAGAAACAATGGCTTTTTAATTGCACTGGTAGTTATAGAAGCAATCAGGCAGATCTAAGTGCAAATCAACAAACCTGGTCACTTTTCAAAGCTTAATGTAAGAAATGGCATTGAAGCTCTTTTTAGGAGGTCTTTGTGAACAAGGTTGGTAAAAAGACACCATAACATGTACAATCACCTGCCAAGTTTGGAAGAACTTTCCTTAGATATGGTAATTTTTTCTGTTTCCTAGTAAAATACATTATCCAGGCCCAACTTCCACTTATGATAGGATAGGACAAGAACGGTTTTTATCTTTCAATTCTTATATTTTAAAATTTAGAATTTTATTCTAATATTTTTTAAATTGAAGATAAGAAATGAAGGATACTCCCTCCGTTTCATAATGATGTTCCTATTTGGAATCTTTTGTGTAAATTAAGGTAAAGGAAGAATCTTGAAATAAAGTACATTTGGACAATTAATTGCAATGGGGCCATCCATTTTTGGAATAAATAACTTTGGTACCACTTATTATTTTGGAATAAAGTACATTAGGATTCTCTTTTTTGGATTAGGACCATTAAAATGAGGGTAATATGGGAAAATACTGAGACTATATGAGGAATTAAAATAGGAAGTAGGAACATCATTTTGAGACACCCAAAATGGAGAGTAAGAACATCATTGTGGAACGGAGGGAGCATAAAATGACTTAGAGATGGTCCATTTTTAGATAACTTGTTAGATGTTACCTATAATATGAGCAATCATTAGGAAATTGTATTATATTTGGAACTAAGTGGGAGACTAAGAAGGAAAAGTAAGCCAATGGTTAGTCGGCCACATAATAGTTGATCATGGCTTTTGGCCAATGATGAGCGTCACGAGGAAGCAATTACTGTTAGGTTTCCTCACATCATCATGGGGAAAACTTAATGTTCTTCAAGAATAAATAGAGGATGAACTATTTATTGAAGATCGATAGAATTAAGTTCTGCTACTAAGTATGACTGTATGAGCATGGCTAAGTACACAAAGTTGTGTAGCTGTGACAGGTCATTTGGAACTGGAACTGGAAACACCCCCCCCTTTTTTTTTAATTAACAAAATCACTCAATATTTAAAGTAGTATTTGCATTTCTTAAATAATTGTTTATTGATCCTCTCACTTGGTGAGATGCCTCCTGGCTCCTCTGTAAAGTTTGCATGATAATGGAATGATTTATAGTTAAGGGGTACAAGCTTGATAAAAGTAAAATGCAAAATTGAAGAAGAGGAAATTCAAGAGAAGGAAACGTGGTCTGTATCGTAGTTCTCAAATTGGTTTTTTTTTTTTTTTTTTTTTTTTTTTTTTTTTTTTTTTTTTTTTTTTTTTTTTTTTTTTTGGTTGTCTCTTCCTAATAATGGTCTTTTGAATTTATATGCAGAGATGTTGAATTTCATTCTATTTTTCTTTTGTGTTGCTGTGTCTGAATGTTAGATTATTCAAATTAATTGTCTATAACTCTATACTGATGGAACCTCATTTAGGTGTTGACTGTATCAGCGGATAAAACTGCCAAAATATGGGAAATTTCACAAGATGGCAATGGGAAGGTTATTAAAACATTGATTTCTGGATCTGGCGGAGTGGAGGACATGCTAGTTGGATGTCTTTGGCAGAATGATCATCTAATTACTGTTTCACTTGGTGGTGTTATCAATGTATATTCGGCAAGCGATTTGGAGAAAGCTCCTTGTACTCTCTCTGGACATATTAAAAATGTCTCTTCTTTGATTATCTTCAAGAATGATCGAAATATGGTACTCTCATGCAGCTATGATGGAGTGGTAGTTAAATGGATCCGTGGTGTCGGATATTTTGGCAATATAAACATGAAGGGTCATGCACCAATTAAATGTTGTATTGCTGTGGAAGGCGAGATCATTTTATCTGGCTTTGATAACAAGGTAGGTATTATTGATTTTTCTGACTGCAAATTGTTACCACATGTTGCTTATGTGTTAGATTAGATATGATGATAGGCCACTTAAGTTTATATATCTGCTTCAAGCACACTTAATCTTTGTTTAGGTGCACAATGGAAATTTTTAAACAGGTCACCCACCGTAAGCAACTCTTAGTATTGTTACATGGTTAATTGTTGCCTGGTTAATTCTAAGATAGCTAATACTGTGGCCTCTTCTGATGCTGTGATTAAGAATATATGTGGTGCTTGCAAACAGTGACAGCTGGCTACACAAACCACAATTTTTTCCACTATACTTAATCCCCTCATATAAACATCCTGGATAGTTTGTAGGTCACCCATTCCAGGATTTTATTATAATATAAGGTTTTTAAAACAGAAGGTGCATTATTTTGGTATTATTAATATCATTAAGGACTCTTTCAATGATCTCCTAATGGGCTAGTGGCATAAGTACCCTTTCTCAAAAATTCTATTTCAGGACGAATGCTCTATGCAGGGGAGTTGTTGGAGCTTTCTAGTTGGTTGAGCTTATATGAGTCAATTTCTGTTACAACTTTTGTCACCTGCTATTCATTTTTTAAACATTGTATGGGAGATTCTGTAAACATATACAGAACACCTAAATTGCCAGTAGTTACCCTTTGATTGTTTTATACTTGAGCATTGCAGGTGTAGTTTCACAGTGTTCTATTTTTTATGGTTGCATGATAATTGTTCTGATCCCTACTGGTGCACACTGGTATATTTGTGTCATTACTCTGATTTGAAGTTTCCATATGTTTTACATGGTTCATTGATCAAGTGTAGTTATGCAGTATTGATATCTTTTAAGACAAAAAATTTCCACGTTGTGGTGCTTTGTTTTCAACAGAAGCTTTCAACTTGTATTTCTGGGATGTATGGTAGTTTCTGATTCCATGATGTTTGAGTGCTAGGTATGGAGAGCTCCCATCCAAGCAGATGAATGTGGATCTGCTGAGCATGTTGATGTAGGAAGCCAACCAAAGGATTTGAGTGTTGCTCTTAATGTGCCTGAACTTGTGTTAGTTGCTACTGATTCAGGAGCAGTGCTTCTTAATGGTTTGAAAGTTTTGTCAAGCATTGACCTTGGATTTACTGTGACAGCATCTGCCATCTCACCTGATGGAACTGAAGCTGTATTGGGTGGCCAAGATGGAAAACTGCATATATATTCTGTGTCTGGTGATACTTTGACAGAAGAAGCTGTTCTGGAAAAGCATCGGGGTGCCATTACTGTGATACGTTACTCTCCAGATGTTTCCATGTTTGCTTCTGGTGATGCCAACCGAGAGGCTGTTGTTTGGGATCGTTCTACCAGAGAGGTATGTTGAAAAATGGCCTTTTCTTTTCCCATCTTGTTTGGAAATGGAAGGCAGTTGGCTTTGCTTTACTGAAATGCTGATGTCCTCCCCAATTGATCGATTTTTAAAGCTTGTTTCATTTGTTAATATATACAAACCCCTTCCATGGTGCTGCATATTACTAGCAGGTTGCCCATACTAATTTATGGTTCTCCCTGGGCATGTCACCTTGTACTTTCTGAGTAGTTGACTACAGAACCGTAAACTTTGCTTGATCAATGACCAGTGAAGAAAAACAATGTATGCTATCGTACTGCGCTTCTTAGTGTATCTGTATGCAAGGAAATTCATAGTTATCTCTGATTTAAGGAGCTGATCAAATTTCCAGATTCATAGAGTAATATGCGAAGACCAAGGAAAAATGCTTTATGAAAAAAAAAAAAGACTTCCGTATTGGTTTGGGTACAATCACACAAGGAATTATCTAAAGCAATTTGATCTTACTGTCATCAAGTAATATCTGTTCATGTAGCATGCTTTCACATTCTTAAAAAGTTGATCTGCAATATCTCATCAGATATAGTTTACTGTGAGAGCATGCCTGAATCAAGGAAGTAAAAATTCTGATGTTTTTTATTATGCCTGGAATGGAAATAAAATTATCAGGGGTAATGTATTCCCCTTCAAATGAGGGTAAAAAATACTCATCCCCCCTCCTCCTTGCATCCTTCTTTCTCCTCTTTCCATCCTCATGTGCCTTTCCATTCCATCTTTCACTATCCACCATCTTTCTTTCACCAGTGGCAGATCTGAGCATCTTTATTTCCAATTTTTTTTTAAAAAAATTAGCTTATCCCTTTCTTTTTTCTTTAATATTTTTATTTCCAGCCCTCTCAACCACTTAAACTTTTAGATTTTTAATTGTTTTGTAAAATAGAACCCAATCAGTCAACCCTTGTTATTGTGAACTTATAGATAATGGGATAGTTTTTCAGAAAATGCTCCATTGGAAATTTGTTATCATCAGCCAAGTACATCATTATATAGCTTATTATATATCTACTTAATTTTTTTTTTTTTTTTTAAAAAAAAACAAATATTGCAACGTTCACCGCTTTAGATAATTTACAAATTTCAACACATCCATTTTGGGAAAATAAGTGTCTTCTTTCACATTGCAAATTCCCATAATACCCTTAGAATTATTAAGTTAATGGTTGTAATCACATCATTCACATGGGCAAGTTTGTAATCTTTCCTTTCTATCCCTTTCTTTTTCCTACAACCTAAATTTTTGTGCACTCCCCTCATGTTGCAATTTTAAATGAACGGAAGAATCGAGGAAGTACTATAGTTGGATTTATTATGGAGGATAGTAGAATATGTTGATGTCGTAAACTATTTAAAAATTATACATGCATCAATTTCTTGTGATGTAATCTGTTTTTCTTTAATTCTAATGTGCTTTTGCAGGTGAAGCTTAACAACATGCTGTACCATACTGCTCGTATTAACTGCTTAGCCTGGTCCCCTGAAAGCACTATGGTTGCTACTGGATCTCTTGATACTAGTGTCATAATTTATGAACTTGGAAAACCTGCTTCATCTAGGACAACAGTAAAGGCTGCTCACTTGGGTGGAGTTTATGGTGTGGAATTTGCTGATGAATGCAGCATCTACAGTTCGGGTGAGGATGGCTGTGTTCGTCTATGGGCAATAACCCCACAATGAAGAGAAATTAAGTTGCAATCGAAATAGCTACTTTTTGGATGCAGAATGAGTATTGTTTTGGATGTATCATGATGTTGTGGTATTTTTTTTGCCTGGTTCATGATTTTCTGGATTCAGAGGTTGCATACTTTTCAGAGCCTAACGAACTAAGAGGATAGGGGTATTGGTTGAATGTATTTATTGCTCAAGTTTTCTGTTTGCCAGGTTGGTTTTCTTGCATTGCTACTGATAATTGTTGTTTTTGTGTTAGGCTTTTGCATGAGTGGCTCTTTAGGTCATGCCTAGACTTCCTGGTTCTGTAGGAAATACGTAAATTTGTTTGTTACAGCTTCGCATTGGAAATCTCTTTAGTTGTTTGCATTCATTCTGTTGCCTGATAGTTTTTCTTTGAATTTACCCTCTTTATTTTGAGTAATTGGAAACAGTTGCAACCTGCTTTTATCAATGGAAGATTCCATATCTTAACAATTGCACTTAGATGAAAGGAGATCCCACCCCTGTGAATCAGACTTGGAATAAGTCTGTCCTGTGATTGACATTTTGATGGACAACTGTGTATATAAACATTGTCAGTCGACTGAAAATATGAAAACTGGAATTTTGAAAACTATGGAATTCTTCGCATGTGCGTACAAGTATGGAAAAGTTTCAGCATTTAGTTGTTGTAGACATGCTTGATATGCTTCATATAACTTGTCCATGCATTATTCATTTTAATCTTTAAAATTTTGATCAAATTTGAATCTGTTGTCTACATGCCCATACTTTGTTGATTTATCTGCTATTGCTCCCTAAATCACGAAGGAATTTAAGCTGTGATCTAGAAAAGACAATGGAGTCTATGGTGGAAAAATCTTGGAAATGGCGTTTCTTATCCTGACTAGATAAAACAAGATAGCATTTTTCTGTTCTTAGTGAAATATTTATCTGCTAAATGTAAAGCGAATGTCTTTATGATTCCTCTGAACTTGTAACAGTATAGTTGAAGGAGCATTTATTTGGAATAGATTTTAACGTATGTTCATTCCTTATTTATCTCGCGCAGGCTCGCATTGGTGGATCTTTGTATTATGGTTTTATTCTTCTATATTAGCAAGTATCATTTGTTCTGTTTTCCCACTTTCAGAGTTGGCATTAGTGTGAAGATTGAAGAATTTCAGACCAAGAGAGCGAAAAGGGGAAATATTTCCAGACTTGTTTAGTGCTGAGACATTGTATAGTCTCCAAGTTTTTTGGAGTGTGTTACACCCTCTTCACTTTTGAAACTGTATAGCAACAGCTTTCTATTGGTTTGAGTAGATAAAATTGTGGTTATAACTAGAAAGGTTTTGACGGTTTGATGCTTTTTGAAACGGGATATTTAATTTTATTTTGATGTGTTACTGCATTTTTTGATGCAATGTTGCCATCTTATTGCATTGTCTATTTTCTAGTGCTTTGGAATTGGCATTTTCAGTGTTACCTTTGTAATGCACGGCGCAGTCTCACACACACTCTTATGGAATCAGAGAGATTGGAGATCTTTGATTAACAACCAAACACAAACTAACTTAGGCTACCAATTTCTAAGGTAGTGACTTTAGGTCACAAGTCACTTTACTACTAACAAAATATCACACCCAAACCTCTCCCCACCCTCCCCCTCCTTCCCCCTTACAGATAATCATAAGATAACATGTTCATTTTCTTAATGTTATCGAAATTATGTATGTATTGTAATTGTTTCGGGGTTTTTTAGATGTCCTGCGAGAGAGTTACAACACCGAACCTGGCCCACCGGATGCACTGTACCTGCAAGGCAACGAAAGCTCTGGATGTTTGGAGTTTCGCCTCCAACGGTCAAGTTAGTACCGGAAAGAGGATGTAATAAATGGAAAGAAAAAACTGAGAGTAAATTCCTCGGCTTTCGAGGGATTGTAATAAGTGTGTAATAATTGTTGAATATTGAATGCTTCCTACTACTGTTAATAAATGAACAATATTTATGGTGTGTGGGAGTGCGCACCCTCTTAGATTATTTTAACCTAGGTAAATGGGCTGCGCCGATTTTACGGCTTCTCGGAAATTGGGCTTAAAGGCCCTTTTTCCTTGATGCTGACTAGTGCCACGTATCATGTCCTGGTTGGCTCTTTTGAGCTCTGGCCTAGGGGACACGTGTCACTAGCTCGTTTGTCCATGTATCTAGTGTGTTTTTACCCTAAACATTTGTCCTTCACAGGGAGTGATGTGGCCGTCCTCGTGGGCGCCTGTGATGTCCGTCTAACACGTGGCCAGGGGTTAGTTATTTTAACTGTTCACCTCTCCTGGTTTTCTCCATTTTGCCCCTCCTTTTACCCCATATAAATAGAGGATTTACCCCCTCTCACTTTTTACTTTTCCAAAAAGCCTTAGAGAGAGAGAGAGAATCAGAGAGCTTTTTAGAGAGAGAAATTTTCGTGTTGCCATCTGTGTTCAAGGCGTCTCACAATTCCCAACTTCAAGTTATCTTTTTATAAGGTAACCTCCTCTCTTCTCTTCTTATCCTTTATTTTAATTTTTCGTCTGCGCCATTTGCGTTTGCTTTCTTTTTTCAAATGGTTTCACAAACACACACGACACGGCCTAGGATAACAGTCAGCCGGTCTCCAAGTACGGCCAAGTGTATGACTAGGAGTGTCGTCTCTCCTTTTGCGGACCCTTCTTTTCATTCTCGAAGTCCGACCGTCTCTGTGGACTGCCCAAAGAACTTTCTCTTCTGATAGTGACAGCCCCATTAGAGTACTGGCTGACGAAGTATTTGATTACCCCCCTAGTTCGCCCAGTCCTCCCGACTCTTCCATCTTGAAGGATTCTAGTAAGAGTATATCCGACTCCACAGCGAGCTCATCACAAGTGGATGTAAAGGTGGAGGGCCCTGAGTCAAGGAACACAGAGTCAGGGATGCCTGAGGCGGTAAATGACGCCGAGGGTGAGGAAGTTGAAGGAGGAGAGGCCTTTACATTCGGCAAGCCTACTCCCTATACATGATTGGTGTCCGCAAAGGACTTTGCTTCCATGAGTGGTGAAATTGAAGCCTATAGGGCTTCTCATAAGATGGGAGACGACTATGAGATCCGTCTGCCTCGTGTCGGTAGTGGCACCATTTTTTGGCCGCATGAGGCGGTAAAAGGAGAAAAATACTTTGGCTGCTATGAGGTGGTCATAAATGTTGGTCTTCGCTTTCCACTACATCCGGCAGTGAAAGAAATTTTGGGAGGATACTGTCTGGGTGTCTGGCAACTCACCCCCAACTCTTGGTTGAACATGTTGGGGTATGTTGCCGCATGTCAGATGCAAAAGATGAAGCCTTGAGGCGTTTGCTCACATGCACTACTTGAGTCATGCCCCAGGCGGCGAAGGATGATACACCTTGACGACTCACAAGTAGTACATGATAAAATACCCCGTATTTTTATACGTATATTAATTTAGAACATTATTTTATGAAGTATTTAAATAATTCGAAATGAATTATTTATGGTATTTTAATAATTTAAAATGGTTTATTTTAATTAAAAGTTCATTTTTATTTATTACCTCCGTTAACTATTATGTGCAACTTTAGAATATTTTATATCTCACAAATAATACCCCAAAGTTGCACATAATAATAAACGGAGGTAGTATTTAATTGTTTCGGAAATATTTTATTTTATTATTTAGAAACTTTGGGGCATAATTATTTTATAAAAGGAAGTTTTAAAGTCATGGAGTTTTAAAGAAAGTCAAATGTCATTTGGAATAGGAGTAGGAATCATTAAGGATAGAAAAGGAATTTAAGTTAGGAGGGTTTTGAGAGCGGGTATAAATACCCATCATATGAGCAAATTAAACTTTGCCCTAGGTGGAGAATACCCAAAGGTAAACTCTATTTCTCTCTCCTCTTATTTTTCTTTCCCCTTGATTTTCCAAATCCCCTTTTCTCATCTCACACGCACGCACCACCATCACCAGCGGTGGTCGGCTTCCACCACCACCATAGGTGGCCCCCGCTAGCACAGGGCGACAGCAACAGCAGCCGCAGGGAGGTGGCGCAGACCACACTCCCCTCCTTCCCCTTTTTGTGGTTCAACTTTTACCAAAAAAAAAAAAAAAAAACTTCTTCTTTTTATTTTTAATTCAATCTAGCCTTGATTTAATTATTGTTTTTGGGTGTGTGTGATGATTTTATGATTCTTTAATTATGATTAATATGCATATAATTTTCAGATTTGGTTTTTGAAAAAGCCCTAAATTGAAAACCCTAGGTTTCTAAATTAATATTTATTGATGGAATTTTATTGTAGTTGACTAAAACTATTGAATTTAATGTTTTTAAACTAAAGTACAACAAGTTTAAGAGTTTTTATAACGCTGGAATTTTTATTTAGAGGCTAGAATTATGTTTCTTGAAAGGATTTTTAATTACCCATTAATTGGGAATAAAAGTAGGTGGTTTAAATTAATTTTCAGCATGTTTTACAAGGTTTACAAGTGATTTAAAGAGTGTTTATATTGCTAGAAATTTATTATGAATAGGTATTAGTGTCTCTTTGTAATTTTGGGTTGTAGGAGACTTCCAAGTGAGTGATTTCGTGTAGTCGTGGCGATTTTGAGATCATGTTCGAGGTACGTTTGCGTACTCGGTAATTACTTAAGTGTGTAGAAGCATGCTAGGCTTTGTTTAATTATTTCCAAGGTAGTATTACGATATGTATTGATTGGAATTGTTGATTGGATTGATTTTGGTGATTGATTTATGAGGTATGAATTATTTGAGGTGAATTATTGATTGGAATTAATTATATTGGCATGTTAATTATGAACCATACTTTTATTATTGGCATTATTGAGTGCATGTTTAATTAAACTAAATGTTTAATTGAGTTTGGAATATTGAAAGGGAATTTTATTATGTTTCATATAATTTTTATTGATGTTATAAGCATGGGAAATGAGCTATTTAAGTATCTATGTACACGAGGATTAATTATATTTTGGTGCCTAAGTGCACTTAAGGTATCTAAACACCGAGGGATAGGATTTGTGGTGCATTATGCGCTTAAGGTGTTATTAAACACCGAGATAGTTTAAAAAGGGTTCAACATTAAATTAAACGTGGTCACTAATTATTCAAGAATTAAATTGGTATGTTTGATTGCTTGAATGATTTATGATGATTGATTGTGTTATGGATTGAGAGTCATCACCAAGTCTAAAATATGTAAATAACGTAAAGCGAAAGAGATTATGCACCAAACTCTTGGAACGTATATACTTCGAGTATGAACATATGGGGGGAGTTATGGGGTTTTATATTTAACCATAGCTTCTACTGGGAGTACCGGACGCTGTATTTTCCTTTTTATTATGCGCAGGTTTTCCGCCTCTTAACTAGTGACTCTTTTATACTGGCACGGTTAGCTCCCGTGTTAGTACCCCTTTATTTGGGGAAGGTTAGGGGGGAAACCCGTTTGATACGTAATAAAATTAAATAAGCAATTTATTTATTTATTGGTTGGTTATGTTGTATGTTGTATGCTTGTAAACAGGTGCAACAAGGTAAGTTGTGTGTTGATAGGATGAAAGCATGTTAGTGTGTACTGTTTACGCCTATGTACCCAGCATTGCTGATTGTGTGTTTGTATGATTGTTTGAACTTGTCTTTATCTTGGCCCTACGACAACCCATTTCTAATGGCGAGTAGTGGGGACAAAGTAAAGAAAAACTTTTCAGGTGATGAAGCATATTCATGATGGGCATGAGTGAAGAGTGAGTCCTATTTAGTTTCAATAAGAATATGATGTGTTTTATTTGCTTTGATTATTATATATTTGCTTGTGAGTAGGGCTGGCAATCCCTGAGCCGACCGGATAACATGACCCAAACCCGACCCGAAGTTACTGAGAGAAACACGAACACGACTTGTACCGAACCCGAACAACCTGAATTCGACCCAATTTGCCCCAAATTTCATATTTCAAAATAATATTAAGTTTTACACAATTTTTGATAGTTTCTAAGCATCACCTGAAACCAACCCGAAATCTGACCCGAACCCGACCTACTGACCCGAATTGGCACCTCTACTTATGAGACTAATGCAAAGGTTTTATTATTTGTTTTGGGTTTTGATAAGGGCCTACAATGATTCCAAGTTGTAGGTTGACTTTATTTGACTTCGTTTGACCTGGGTTTGACTTTACTTTCGTTTGGTTTGATTTTTTAAGTTGACTGATTTTGAATGTTTTTTTTTTTTTTTTTTTTTTTTTTGGAAAATAAAATTTTATTACCAAAAAGGATAGTACAACTGACAAAGAAAGTTGCACTAGCGAGAACACCCAAGCTACACAAGACCCGAGTGTCAAACCATCCCTAAAGCAGTTCAAGGATCTGAGTTAGC